GTGGACATCCAATCTTGGGAAGTATTTTAAAAAGGCCATCCCTGCTAACCAAATTAAAGGCCTTTGTGAAATCTATGAAGGCCACAAAAGACTGGCTGTTGTTGTTCCCTGCATTTCTCCTGCAACTGTCTGAGGGAGAATACCATGTCAGTGGTGAATCTATTCGCTCGAAATCCACACTGTGATTCTCGATAGACTCTGTCTGCAAACACCTGGAGCCTCTTGAGTACAACAGAGGCAACCACCTTCCCTACAACGCTGAGAAGAGAGATGCCGCAGTAGTTATTGCAGTCGCCACATCTCCTTTGTTCTCATATAATGTGACAATGTTTGCATTCTTCATGCCCTGTGGTACTCCATCTTCCCTCCAGTAAAGACAAAATATTTTATACAGCTCGGTGGTTATTATCTCTTTACAGCAACATCAGCACTTCAACAGGGATGTTATTCTTCCCAGGTGCCTGGCCAAACTTGAGGGAATCCAAGGCCACTTTTATTTCTGCTAAAGTTGGTTCGCTATGCAACTCTTCCAAGACAGACAGGCACTCAATGTTATTTAATGCCTCTTTGGTTACTACATTCTCTCTAGATTACAGCTCAAAGTAGCGCTGCGCCAAGCGTTCCATCTGCTGTGCTCAGTCCTTGATGTTCACACCTGTAGCAATCTTCAAAGGAGCAGATTTCTTCTTTATTGGACCTGCTTGATACCATCATACATTCCCTTGATGTTACCTGTGTCCGTTGCTATCTGTATCTCAGAGCAGAGCTGAAGCCAATAATCATTGGAACATCTCCTGGAAGTCTGTTGGACTTGGCTACTCTAAGAACCTGCAAGTTGTGCTCACTAGGACAGGTTTTGCACGCTCCTAGAGCTCTCTTCTTTTCCTCAGTGGCTGGCATCAGCACCTCCGAATGGGCTTCAAACCCGTCTGCCATCTTTTTGGTCTTCTTGCCAAATGTGGACAAGGCGATGTTACAAACAGCATCCTTGAAATGTTCACATCGTTCAGGTGCATTTGCATCAAACAGGCCTTTAAGAGTTTCCTCAAGCGCTTGGGCAAATTCCTCCAGTTTTCTCTGATTGCAAGTCTTGCTGATGTTAATACATGGTCTTCCTTTAATCTCTTTATTCAAAGTTTTACTCTGCTACACACCAGGGAGTGATCAGAATCACAATCAGCACCCTGATAACTGTGTGTGATCATAATACTAGGAAGGCTAGAGTGTCTAGTGAGGATCAAATTGAGCTGATACCAATGCTTCAATCTTGGATGTCTCCAAGAGACTCTGTGTTGAAGCTTCATATTAAAGAAAGTGTTGCTGATACAAAGACCATAATGACAGTAAAACTCCAGCAAGCGTTCGCCATTTTTGTTCATCTTCCCAATGCCAAAACAGCCTAGACAAGTGGGCCAAGAATTGTGATCAGCACCAAGTCTAGCGTTAAAGTCTCCAAGAATGAACAGCGGCTCTCTCTCAGGGATTTTTTTGATAATAGCTGCCAGATCATCATAGAATTCTTTGACTTCTACTGTAGATGACAGTGTTGGTGCATATGCACTAATGAGGGTGACCAGTCCTGCTGCTGAGTGGAGCTGCAGAGACAAATGGGACTACTCTAAGTGCAACTTACTTTAGCATATACTAGATTGCAGTTAGAGTCGTCCCATTTTAAGCAATGGAACAGACGAGTTGACTCACCAAATCCCCATTAATTCAATGGGACTACTCTATTGCCATTCACTATGCTAAGTAACAGGATTTTGGTCAGTAGATTACAGTGGTGCCCCACATGACGACGACAATCCGTCCCACTGAAATCGCTGTTTAGCGAAAACATAGTCTAGCAAAAACCGTTTCCCCACTGGAATGCATTGAAACCCGTTTAATGTGTTCCAATGGGGAAAAAATCCTCATCATTCTACGAAGATCGCCCATAGGGAAGCCATTTTGTGAAGTGCCAATCAGCTGTTAAAATGTCTGCCCTGTGAAGCATCGGTCCTGAAAACACCCAATTGCAAAGCGCCGATCAGTGGCAAAATTGTCGTCTTGTGAAAATCAGTTTGCGAAGCAGGGACCCAAACATCATCCAGTGAAAATCGCCCATTGGAATCACTGTTTTGCGAATCACTATAGCGATCGCAAAACCTCATCGTCATGCGCATTCATAGTTTTGCGAGGTTGTTGTCTAGCAAGGTACCACTGTATAAACCATGGAAAAACTGTTCCTAAAATATCAAAAGGAAGACAGTTATATGGAAATATTTCTCTCTTAGTAATCTTGCAGGTACAGTATCTTTTTCCAGAACCAAATCCAGTTACTCCTTGCTATTTTAGATACAAACATTGCCTCAGAAGCACTGTAATGATCAGTTTTCTATTGCTTCCATTTCACCCAAAATGTCTTTAATGTTTTCAGAAGGTTACAAATGAGTTCAACTTATATTACCTGGTATGTTCGACAAAACATCCTTCGTGTGACAAATGAGGTCCTCATTTTCCCCATCTTTAAAGGTGCCTATTTCTCCATAATACAGTGAAATTCCAAGCTGCATTATCCGAACAAACATTGGAAGTTGCTGATCAGTAACGGAAAGCTTCAGACTTTCAACCAAAGTATGAATCTACAATTATAAAGAACAAAACAAAAAATGAAGACCAAGGAGAATTACATTCATACAATAGAGCTTTCCTAGCTCTTCTGTCTCACTCCATGAAGATGCCACTGAGGATCAAGAGACACTCTCAAATGATGTAGCCTGTACATTTTAGAAAAAAAGGTGTATCTGAAATTCTACAGGCATTTATTTCCAAATACATTTTCTTTGCTATAACAGACATGATCCAGATAAAGAGGCACTTTGGTCCCAATCATTCTAACATAAAAAACTAGCCCTTATTCATGATAGCAAACTTCATCTTTCAATATCAGAATATTGCAATGAGGCTATAATCTAGAGCTGATACTTGTAATTAAGCCTATAGTCCAACAGCCAGTCTCTGCTCCAATTATGAATATGCAGCACCAGCCTATAATGTGCCAACTCATAGCAGCAGTTCAACCATCAACAGTACTATTCTGCAGAAGATATAATTCTTTTTAAATTACAAAAAAAAATCTGCTTCACAATAGTATTGATTGGCAGAAATTCAATACAACAATGGATGGAATTATAGTAAACATTTATCTAGTCTCAGAGGCTTATGATCAGTTTCTCAAGGCAGTGAAAAGTTCATCCCAACTTTCCCCAGGGATGCAGAATCAATGACCTCCAAGGCATAACGGCAGAAATGGTCAACACAGTGATTTTTTTTCTATTTGAACAAAATCCCTTGAGTGAAGAAACTATTTTGGCTAGGCAGAGATTCACTCCTTCATTCACAGAAATTGAAACAGACAATTTAGTAAAATTCATGGAACAAATAGACATGTCAAGAAACAAGCAAAAGGTCTGGAAATTACTAAAGTGGACAAGACGGAAATCTTGTGTATGGGCACCCCTGGCATCAGTGGGTTGGGAAATTCACTTTTCTTTGGGGGAGTGACTCTTCCCACAAAGAATGAGGTTCGCAGCTTGGGCATCTGTCTAGACCCGGATCTCACCATGGAAACCCAGGTGACATCTGTGGTCCAGGCAACCCATTTCCATCTTTGGAGGATTGCCCAGCTGCACCCCTATCTAGATGCGGGGGCACTTACGACTTTGATTCATGCACTCGTAATCTCAAGAATAGACTACTGCAGTGCACTCATACATACATACATATTTTTATTACAGTCCTTAAACCAATTAAACAAAAACAATTACAATTTCAACCTTTTCAGCGAAAAGCATAGCAAAATTACCTCTTAAAATAGTTTAAAATGCATTTAAAAACCTACAATTTAAATCCATTAAAATCCACAATTTAAAAGCATTTAAAATCTACACATCTAAAATTTATCAACCCTTTGATTTCTGGAATCTAAGTACAGTGTTTCCCCAGAAATAAGACAGGGTCTTATATTAATTTTTGCTCCAAAAAACACATTAGGGCTTATTTTCAGGGGATGTGTAATTTTTTCATATACAACAATCTACATTTATTCAAATGCAGTCATATAATCTTCTTCTGGTTGCTGCACAATGGTGGAAGGTGGGGTTTCACTTAACTAGGGCTTATTTTGGGGGTACGGCTTATATTATTAGCATCCTGAAAAATCATACTAGGGCTTATTTTCAGGTTAGGTCGTATTTTCAGGGAAACAGGGTATCACCATGCAGAAACTTGCAACATGATAGGTGATCTTATGATCTTTATCTGAGAGAAGAAACTGGACACTACATTCTTCTGTACAACCTGGGATTTTTTTAATCAGTGGAAAAATAATCTGATTACATCCAATCTCATAGTGGGGACAGATAAAAAATATGTGTTGCATACTGTAGTTTCTACCGCCTCTAACGAACAGGAGCAAAGCCTTTCTGCATAAGACAAATTCCTGTATTTCCTTTCGCAGACAGCAGACAGAAGGGCAGATCATCTTGCTAGCGTGAAAGCTCTTCTAAATCCTCTCATTTCTAAGAGTGATAGTCTGCCGGTTCCATTGGGTTCTTAATGTAGGCACTTAAGAGCCAATTCTGTACACTAGCAAAGTCAGCTTGGTATTCTATTTCCTCAGTTCTTTGACTAATTTCCTTGCCACATTTATTTGGAACTATAGCAGCACTTGTGGAGATAGACACTTGTGGAGATAGACCGATTTTCATCAAGTGGCTCTGGACAGTCTTTACCCAGTTGGATTGGAAATTATCATAGAAAACCAAGGGCAGAAGGCCTTGGGGATTGTTATGCCCCTTTAGCCATATATATGTGTGTGTGTGTGTGTGTGTGTGTGTGTATACATGTATATGTATATGTATATGTATATGTATATGTATATATGTATATATGTGTATATGTATATGTATATGTATATGTATATGTATATGTATGTATGTATGTATATGTATGTGTATGTATATGTATATGTATATATATATA